GTCCCTAATTTGCCACCCTGTTTCTTGGGAGGCTAGATCTGCTACATTAGTTTTGTTACCCTGCAGTTACTTAAACCAGTTGGATCTTGTTTTGTGGTCAGTGGTGGCTGTTGAGGTGAAAAAATAATTGCTTCTATAAGCTCTTGCCTATGGCCATGGCCTTTGATTTGTCTTTCTTCGACATCACTTTTTGGCCTGGAAGCATAAAAAGTCTTGCATTCTTTACACAAAGTTGCTACCCACTGTTTAGATTAGAAACAATCTTTTCACTCAATATGAATATACTATTTAGAATAATGGGTATATGTTTAGGGCTCTTACACAAGGCCAAAAAGTCCACAAAACTTGCAAGTAAAAATTAATAAGCAACAGAGAAACACAAATTTGTTATTTGCAGAGCTACATTCAAAACCAGAGCTGTAATAAGGTACTATAAAATTTCCTCATAGGAATAGTCACTGAAGACTGCACCTATAAAAAATAGCCTGATTCAAAAAGAAATATACTTTATGGCAAAAAAAAGAATTAAATCTACATATCTTCAAACTAATATTTTAAGATGTCCCTGATGTGTTCACAGTCTTAGGATGTGGTCTCCTCCAGCTTAAACTAGATCAGCAGCACTTCCAAAGGTGCAAATGTATAGTGGCCACTTGTAAAATAAATGGTCTGGCCCATTATCTAGGACTATGTAACTGGATATGATTTAACTGTATGTACTACTCTACAAAAAAGAGGAATACAAAAAGTTAAACCAAAGACTACAATTAGGTTAACAGTGTCTGATAACTGGCAAGACCAAACAGATACCGTTCCAATTAATTATGGTTCCCATGGGATTCAAAGGTGCTTTGAAGACAGCAGGAACTTGACAGTATTCGTTTGGGCTGTGAAGACATGGAACCAGTGACAATCAAATCCATGGTACAAACATTATAAAAGTTATCTGTTATCTTTTTGTTCTTTCTGGGTTTTGCATCCAAGCGTGAGCCAGAAAACTCTTTATGTTGGAATTAAAGGTACCGGCAACAACCAATGGGACTTCCCAGTGTTACAACAAACCAGTTATCTATTCTGTGGCAATTTTGCCACTCTGGTGAAATATCACATACAATTATTTGGCCTGGTTTATACAGAAAAAGAAACAGAAAAGAAACTACCACCACAAAAAAAAAAAAAAAAAAAAAAAAAACACAAAAAAAAAAAACACACAAAAAAAAAACCCACAAACAAACAAAAAACAAACCCACAACCAAACAAAAAACCCCCAAACCCACAAACCACATACATACACACTCACACACAAAAAGAGATTCTCATGTATGGCATTCAGGTCTATATATCCCTTCCTGCTAAGGGAGAATACAGAACACTGAGTTATACACTCTCAAATATCTCTGTCAGCTTATCCACTACAGAAAGATGATAGAATTACTTGTCTTTTGTAACATGTAATTTAGAAAATTTACTCTGTTTAAATACTTTTTTTATTCTTATCATCTGCTTATATACCACGATGATGATAAATAACTTGGTTTTTGATTATATTTAGATACATATATAATCTGATAATTTCCACCAAGAAAACAGTGAAGGTTCTTTTCTGTAAGTTCTTACATAAGCAAATAATAAACCCCAGCTTGACTCAGAAATATTTGCCTTATTTCTCCAGCACTTCTCATACATGGTAAGGGAGACGTGTGTAAGGCTGAGAATATCTTCTATTTTATACACATTTGTGTTTTATTTTTAATAGCTAAGGATGCTGTTCTCAGCATCCCTCAACTTATCGTTATTTGGTCAGTATCTGTCATGGAAGTTAGCCTTGAAAAGGGATTTAAAAAGAAGGAAATAATGAAGAGCTTTGATGTCAGCTGGAAGGCAAGGTCACATTCTGAGAAGCACAGATAAAAGCAGTGCAGCCAGGATCTCTGGGAAGTGGAGGTCTCCACTATTACCTGATACAAATTTATAAAAAAGCAACAGACAGGCCCAAGAAGGGCTTTGAAGCTGAGGCCCACGATAGTGTGTGAGGGCAAGGAGCAAGGAGCAGAGAACGGGCGAGGGGAGCGGAGAAGGAAGCGTTCCAGAAGAGGCTGTGCCAGAGGAAAGCAGAAGCAGGCGGTGGAGGGCCGGCAGCCTGGGGAACGGGCTACTGAGCCGCTGGCTGCTTTGGCTTCAGTCCTGTGGGTCGGGTGAGTCATCCCAGCTTCCAGGGGAAGGATGTATCAACCCCGTCCCAACGCAGTGCGAAGCAGTTTTCCTGTAAGACAGACTCCTTGGCAAGCACAGACTTAAATCAGCTTCATTACATATGACTTTTAAAATCAATAGCAGCTCATCAGTGGGTATTTTTAAAGGATGGCTTATTTTACTTTAGCTTAAGCATGTTATTTGCCAGTGCGAGCTAATCTGAAACAAGCATTGTTACAAGCACCTTTTTGCTAGTTAAAGTGTAACATTTTAAAATCATGTCTGCTAAAAGTCACACTCCAAGTACACCGCCCTGCCTAGGTCAGACCTATCAGTGCAGCCGTGGTCCAAAGGGGATATCACTGCTGTGATACAGTACAACTAGAAAAAGGTCAGAAAAGAGTAACGTTGAAAACCAGAGGCATAGACTGGCTCTCAGAGAAGGAACATCAGATATGCCAGGGCTTGTCAGTTTGGAAAAGAGACAGATTGATTATAAGGAATATGACTGACATCTACCAAATCCAGTGGCACAGTAGCTGAGTATGGATCAGTTGCTCCCTTACTCTTCCAATAAGGGAAGTGTCACTTCGAGCTGGGAGAAGCCATGTTCAAAATGGAAAAGCTGACTTCTCATGCAACAGCTGGTAGAGCTGTTCAATTCACTGCTAGATGACGGGTCCAGGGGGAAACCGGAGAGGTATCATGAGGAGAAATCCACTGTCTTACTAAACAGGCAGACACCATATGCCATCAGCTGCAGATGGCTGGAGGGTATTAGGAGGCATTCCCACATATGTCTAGCCTTACTCGCTGATGGCTGCTCTTGGAGGTTGCAGGATATTGGGCTCGGAAATTATAATGGATATTATAAAAGAGCAACAATAGTTCTTATGCAAAAGTATTTCTGCATTTCACTTGACATGTATTGTTTCCTTAAGGAGTATAATAATTCTCAGAATATTTGGCAATTCACAATTCAACTTTTATACACTCAGCATTTGGCTGCTGCTAAACAATTCATGTTGAAAGATTTTTATTTTACTGCATTTTCAGTTTTGAAATATGAAGGTGTGTAGCATCCTAATTGCAGATGTGATTATACCCATATGAGTGCTAGAACTGGCGTAATCTTTCCCTGTATTTCTAAAGTATCTAATTACTGTAGTGATGGATATATACAAGTCCTGACTATTGACAGCATTTAATGCTTTTGGTTATGTCAGATGATGTGTGATTCGGGATACCATTAAGATTTTTTTTTTTTTTTTTTTGTAAGTGGATGGAATTTTTTGTTTGATGGTAGTTGTGCTACCATGATGTGAATGGTCAGCCCTTCTGCCTCCCAGCTCCCCTTTGCATATTTCCTACACGAAACATCTTAAAAATCCTGAGGACATCATGCATCCTCAGGAGGTTGTATAGCCTTGTTACCCCAAAGGTACTGATGCAAACAGAATGAGACAGCACAGCAGACAAACCACACAGCACATCATGCATTGAAAGTGAGTAACGTAAAGCCCAGTATCCCAGCTTGTCAAAAGCAAACACCTTGCAGAGGCCCTAAAAGCAGGCCAGGCATGTATGATACACTTTTAATACTCTCCCAGTGTCCAGTAGGCAGGCTAGCACGTAAGAAGAGATCACAAAGTCCATAACTATTATCTGAGAAATCCTGCCCCAGTGGTGCCTGTAATGGTCTTCAGGGAGTCCTGGATTTCATGGATTTTACAGATAAAGTCTAGAATAAGCTAAGTAGAGCTGAACAGTCCGTCGCTCAGCGTTTTATGTAGGAAATCTCCCAACCCTTGTGCATCTTCACATAAAGTCTCTGCAGTAGAGGCAATGATAAAAATCTCGCTCTACACAGGGCAGCACCATCCTGTGGTCTGCTCAACACTGCACCTCCCCTTCTCTCCTTCCAACCTCCTGTTCTAAACACCCTCCATTCCTCACAGCAGACCACCAGGTCCCCCAAATAAAACAGCCTCTTTCCCTCCACGACGATGTTTTCTCGGGTTCTGGCTGATGCGGGGCCTGAAGCAGGACTCCGCAGGGAAGAAGCCTGTGAGCAGCCCAGTTTACCCGTCGCACTGCACCGTCCCACACGCCGCCCCTTCCCCCCCCCCCCCCCCCCCCAAGCCCCTGCCCCTAGCGCCTCACCCCGGCCCCCCCCGCCTCTCCCCCCCCCCCCCCCTTGCTCACTGGGCTGGTTTCCACTCCCTCTGTCCGCCCTGTCCCCACCCTCCCCTCGGTTTAAGCCCCGCTGTTAATTCTCCTCGAGCCACCACTCCAAAACGCTTTGCTCAGGCTTTCCACTCCTGCTTCCCGCTCCCGGTTTTGCCAGATTATTGGCTGCAATACCTTTTGTTACAGCTTTTCGCGGCGATGCCCCCCTCCCCCCCTCCCTCCTTCCCCACTCCGAACACCATCAAGATGCAAATAACCCCCGCGGGGCGCCACTGAAAGCACAAGAAGTCACGCAGGTAGGTAACCACGCCCGCCCCAACTACCGCTCGCAAAAAGCCCGGCGGCCGGGCAGCCTGGGGCGCCGGCAAGCGGCGCGGAGTGCCGAAAGCTGAACCCCAACCCCCGGGGCCGGGGGGCAGCGGCGGCTCCTTGAGCGGAGACCCCTCGCCCCCCACCCCCGCAGCTCGGCGGGGCCGGGGCGGGGCCGGGGCGGGGCCGGGGCGGGGCCGGGGCGGGGCCGGGGCGGGGCCGGGGCGGGGCCGGGGCGGGGCCGGGGCGGGGCGGGGTGGGCCCGGGGCGGGCCCGGCGCTCCCGGCAGTTCCGGCGGAAGGCGGTAGCGGGGGGGGGGGCCGTGCCTCGGCGTTTCTCTTCCCGCCGGGATGGTGCAGGACCCGCGGGGTCGGCCGGTAGCCGAGCTGCTGCTGCAGGCGGGGGCGGCCCGCAGCATCCTCTGCCTCTGCTCCCGCGCCTTCGTCGAGTGAGTAGCGGCGGGGCGGGGCGGGGCGGGGCGGGGCGGGGCGGGGCGGGCTAAAAATCCCCGCGGTGAGGGGGGGGGGGGGGAATGCCCTTGCCGGAGCGGTCATGGCCGCCGGTGGGAGCCCGCTCCCTCCCTTCCGGGGAGCGCCGGCCGTGCTGCGTTGTCCCCGGGCGCCCCCCTTTCCCGGCCCCAAACCGGCGCAGAGGGGGCCTGGAGCCGGGGAAGGAGCGGGTTCCTCGGGGGGGGGGGGGGGTGAGGGGGTGCCGCCGGCGGAGGCGGTTCGGGGGAAGGGGCTGTGGCCGCTCCCCGGGCCGCCGCTGCTCGGCGCGGTCAGTGTTGGGCTGAGGCGGTTGCAGGGGTGAGGCGGCCGCGGCCGGAATATTCGCAGTTTCGGACCGAAGGCACTAAATTCCACCCGCTCGGGCAGGCCAGAAATGCGATTCCCGGGCACTCTGTGTAGCAGCATGCGCTGAACATCTCTCACGTAGGCTTTTTGTGTTAAAAGTGCTGCCGTTTTCGTATTTTTCTTTGCTTTGGGTGTTTAGAATCACAGAGCAGCCCAGGTGGGAAGGGACCTTGAAAGATCGTCTGGGCCAGCGTTTTGGGGGAAAAGGAGCCAAGATGAGCTTATCTAGCACCCTGTCCTATCACATCTTGAAACCTCCAGTGATGGGGACTCCACCGCTTTCCTGGGGAGGTTGTTCCACTGAATGATTGCTTTTACTGTAAAAATATTTGTTTTAATAATGACCTTCTGTGTCGATGTGTCTCTTCATTTTTACAGAGATCGAAAACTATATAAACTGGGATTAAAAGGATTTTATGTCAAAGACGACAATGACAGTACAGGTAAGGTAGTAAAATGTACTGTGTGACACGATGTGCATTTATACTTAAAGTTAGTTATGTGTGGTTATCTAAGGTACAGTAGGGCTCTGCAACTGCTAGCCCATAGTTTTGTTCTTATTTCTGGCTTGTTTTTCAGTATTTTTGTTATTGGGGATGGATATGAATAATAACTTAGCACTTGCGTAACTTTCAAGTTACTATAATTGTGATGTAGAAGTTTGTGTGAAACCAGGTGCGTGGGTTTGAGCCCTGCACTGGGCACCAAAAAGACAGTCGTGGTTTACACGCAGCCAGCAGCCAAACACCACACAGCTGCTCGCTCGCCCTCCCCTGCCCCAGGGAATGGGGGAGAGAATGGGAGGGGTAAAGGTAAGGAGACTCGTAGGTTGAGATAAAAACAATTTAATAATTGAAATAAAATTAAAATTGTTATTATTATAGAAACAATAGAACATACAAATGAGTAACGCATGGTGCAATTGCTAATGATCCCAGCGGAGGGAAAATTCTAAAACTGCAGTACCAGAAGAGCACAAGCTTCCCAGCCAGTCCTCACCTATATACTGAGCATGACGTTATATGATAAAAGAATATTTCATTAGCCAATTTGGGTCCATTGCTTTGGCTATGCTCCCTCTCAGCGTCTTGTGTAGCTGCGCACTAGCACAGCATGGGAAGCTGAAAAGTCTTTGATTTCTTAGCAACAGTGAAAAACATCAGTGCGTTATCAACCTTCTTCTCATACCAAATCCAAAACACAGCACTATTCTAGCTACTAAGAAGAAAAATTAGCTCTGTCCCAGCAGAAACCAGGACAATGCGTATTCTGGTTTGCACAGATTTACCAGCTCATATATTCTCCACCTGGTGCACAGAGCAGATTAGCTCACAAGTGTCTGACCTGCTCTCAGATCATAATTTCAACTTCCCTAGCTCAAAATTAATTATATAATGGAGGGTCTGCAAATCCTAGATACTTGCCTGGGAGTAATACTGTCCTGCTGCCTCTACCCCAGCCTAGGGCATTAGCTGTTGCTGATTAATCTGCTGGGCCAGAAGTAGAGAAGAATCAATAGCCCTGATGGGGGAAGTTAGGATTTACGCATACATGAGGAATCATATGAGGAGGACCAGAGGAGTAAGTCTCTCCCTACTTGCTTGTATTTTAGGAATAATCATGGTGCATGCTCTGACAAATTCAACACCAGTTCCTTGCTTCATCCTCCCAAACTCCCCACACATTCCTACCTGAACATAATTACTTTGGTATCTGATTTTTCAATGCTGTCTTGCTAACTCCAGCATCATATAGTAGCTTGATTTGAAAGGAAGGAGTCTAAACAGAAAGGAATGTCTGTAGAAGCTGAGAATTAATAGTGCGGGTTAGATGGAGGCAGTGTGAATGAAGTGAAGAAGAAGAATGTAAACCATGTTTTTGTGCGTATATGACTGAATTGTGGTGAGAATAATAGGTTAAAGAGTTGTGCTGTGTGATAATTTGGCAGTAAATATATCCTGATACCTCCCCACTCCCACCCCACCAAAAAAAAAAATCTTAAATTTCTCAGTTTTATCAGCTGTGTCAAGAGCTTTTGTATTTCATAAGTTTCATCAGTATACAGTTCCTACTTTCTCAGTGGTATTTGTCATTTTATGTACATATGATGTTGCTTAAAAATTTGATAGATATTCAAGAAGTGTTTTGATGGTTGATCATTTCTTTGAGATAATTATGTTCTGTAGTTCACACATTATATTTCTGTAAAGCTATATTATCTTTGTTAGTGTGTTTTTGAAAGATCTGTAACAAAACCAGCAGTTTCTTATATTTTAAGCTTGCTCTGATACATGCCAAAAGAATCCTGTAAAGAATTTTATTTTCCTAATACTAATTTTTCTGTTGTTTGCTGGGTGGTATTGTAGTTTGCTCTGCGAGTTATTGAGGTGAATGGTTGTGGTGGGTGGACCCCAAGCACCCACACCCTTTACCCCAGTTTTTATTGCTGAGCATCACATTACACGATACCGACTATCCCTTCAGCCAGTTTGGGCCAGTAGTCCCAACCACGTCCCCTCCCGATCTCTTGCCCACCCCAGCCTACTCACTGGGCAGGGCAGAGTGGGGAAAAGAGAAAGTTATGGTGCTGTGCAAACACTGCTCAGCAATAGCCAAAACCTCGGTGTGTTATCCCACACTGTTTTAGCCACAGATCCAAAACACAACACCATAGGGGCTGGTTTGAGGAAAATTAACTCCGTCTCGGCCAGACCCAGTGCAGTGTTTTGGCCGTCCAATTTAGATTTTGGTTTCTGCTGATAGTTACACGAAAAATATGATGCTTATGACAAAACTTTTAAATGGAAAAGGAAGCTTAAGAGGCAGTTGTACTAATTTTTGTAGGCCATGCTGTTTCACTGAGGTATCAGAACCAGATTATATTCACTTTAATATAATTTGTTAATAGGGGGGGAACAAGCATCCGAGGAGGAGAACCGTTTTCCCAACGTGACATTAAAGGTGGATACTAATCATGCTCTTGACCTGGAAGAAGTTGAACTAGATTCAGAGGCCAAACTTATGAAGAGTATGGGATTGCCTCTCCAGTTTGGTGGACACTCAGCCCACAGGGACTTAGTGGTAAACCTTTATTTGCATTATTTGTTCTGTTGACTTTGCGTTTCCAGATGTAGGGGCATGTCTGTTCAGTTATTTTGGAGACTGCAGTTCATGGAAATGTATCTGAGCTTGCTTTAAACTGCTCGCCTCGCCTGTTTGTAACAAAGTACAGCACTGTGCTCTGTGCAAGTCTGTAGAATCCACCTGCTAATTTGACTAACCATGGTGAGGCTTTATGCTTCTCTATCTGTATTCCTCTTGCTACAAGAAAGAGCTAGTTTAAAACAGCCGTGGTAACATCTCTGCATCAGGACAACTAATATGCTCCAATCTGAGCATGTGTTCACGCTGTCTGCTTCAACCATTTACCTTTAATTACTAATATAAAAGGCTAGTTTTTCAGATTTCCCTTGCAGTAATAAAGCCGGGCTGTTCCAAAGGGCAGGAATGAGGCTCGGGTGCTCTGCTTCCCATAGGGAGCTTTTGGGCTTTAGAGGAAGGCTAAAGTTGTTCACAGATGAGAAAAAGACAGTGAGATACCCACCTTGTCCGCTTTATGGAATACAGACCTCCCTGGCAGTGAGAGAGTACTTCTGTGCAAGGCAGATTCTGCTCTGACCTGATTAATTTGTAAATAAACAGGAGAAACTTGTACATGATTTTAATTGCTGGCATGTAATTGCTGGCACCTTGCAGGCAGCCAACTTCAAGCCCAAAGTATGCATGAGATTTTTGTTGCTACGCAGTAATACTACAAATAAGTAAAATGAGAAAATAACATACGTTTTTACTAGATTACTACTAAGCATTGTGCTTTGCACCGTGTGTATTAACATGACATTATGAGCGATGTGGATGAAAGATTAATGCCAGTTCTGTGAACTTAACTTCTTTATAGTCCACCTCAAATGTTTGTCCATGCAACAAAAGTAGGGATTGCTGCTGATGGGACATTTGGAGTAATATCTGTACATTTGCAGTCTTTTGCCTGTGTGAGTTGTAGTCCCTCTTCACTGCTACCTTTTTACCTGCCAAAATTGATTTTGCAGTTTATGAAAAAAATTGGAAGATATATCTGATAGAAAAACTTGCTTTTCTTGGATGTTTTTATTTTGTTTATATCTGTAAGCATAGGAAGCATCACTGAAATGGGTGGAATTGTATTTGGTGAAACCAACAAGTTACCATAATGTTTCCTTTCAGTAATAGGTTTCTGTCTTCTGTTCCACTAGACAGCTGTAGTAGTCAGAGTTTGTTGTAACATGTGAAACGGTAGTATTGCACAAATGAAAGGGCACCAGTTTGGGGAGGAGGCAGTTTCCTTGTGTTTCTGTTAACCAACACGGAGATGAGTGTGGGATGGGAAGAATATTATACCCCTCTTGGGTCAGTGTCTTCAGACATACAGAGATTCAGCTTAAGGGTTTACAGAGCTGATGAGTATAAAGCCATGCTGTTTTGTTTAAGGCACTGAGAGATAGCAAGGATTTAACATTCTATTAGGCTGAGTATTATATGTTCGCTACGCTAATAAGACACCTGAACAGTATTTGCTGGCCAGGCAGATACCAGGTGGCAGTGAGGGTTACCCTCCACGGCCCCTTAAAACAGGTCCTCAGTGTTACCAAGATACTGTTTTACTGTTGAGCTCAACCCAGTGACCCCTCACTTCCTGACCAACCTCCCTTTAGGATTTTACAGTGTTTTCATGTTGATGTCTTTCCTTCTGAGTCCTTGAGCTACTAATGACTTCCCTCTCAGCAGCCCCCATTCTGTCTGTAATTCTGCATTTTTGTGTACGTGTCTTTTGATAGGCTTTCTTACAGCTCTTCCTCACAACTTCCTCAGAAATGTCAGCCAGGGTTATGCAGCAGGGCCCTATCAGACCTGTGAATCCTCCAACCTTTTGTGGGGAGAAAGCTAATAGCAGGGTTGCAGTGAGAGGGGGCGTTACAATGGAAACAGAAGTGTGCTTGGAGAGAGGACAGGGAAATACTGCATATACATTGGGGACTTCTAAGTGTGGTTTTTCATTGTATTTTAGGCAACAGAAAATTATAGAAAGAGAAGTAACATGAAGATTGTGAAAAAGAAAAAGAAGAAGAAAAAAGAGTTACAGCAAAAACATGAAGATAAAATGGGGCAGGAATGCCCGGATCAAGCTTGTGGTGGTCATATCCAGTCCATTTCTAGTGAGCAGGCCCTAGCTACAGAGCAGCATGAGAAGAGCAGCAAACCTCAGGTTGTAAGTGAAGGGACCTGTGAAAGTTCAGAACATCTTGCAAATGAGGTTTTACCCAGCGAACTTAAAGAAAAATGGGAGAAGTACTGGAGCGAGTATGGAGAGGGCCTTCTCTGGCAAAGCTGGCTGGAGAAGCATCAAGAAGTCTCATCAGCTGAGGCAACCACTGCCTCTGAGCCTTGGAATAGTCTGGATACCAGGGAAGAGTGGGAGCAGCATTATAGTGAACTGTACTGGTATTACTGGGAACAGTTTCAGTACTGGACAAGTCAAGGGTGGACTACTGAGAGCTCACATGGTGACTATGTGGAAGTTAATGGGGTTACTCAGGAGATGGGTCTTTTGGGAAAAATGGACTTGATTAACCCAGGGGCTGAATTCAGTGAAGTGCTGAGCTTGGAGCTGCCTCCCTCTAACACCAGAAGTGAGAAAACACTCTCTTCAAGTGCTGAGCCCCACAGTGAAATCATCTCTGGGATTTGTAACTTAAATCTCAATTTGGAGGAAGTGGAGCAGAGCAAAACAGATCTAACAGTAGCGTGCCAAGGTCCTCGGGAGTGTAGTTCATCTGATAGTGAAAGCCAGACAGAGCCCTGTGATGGAGGAACCAGGAAAAGGAGTGCATCTTGTGAAAATAAAAGTATTAACCAATCAGGTAATACAAAATCAGCTAAAACCGATTCTACCAGAATTTCTCTAGGTGGTTATATGTAAGAAACCAGGGCATGTCTGTATTATGCCGTTGTAGAAAAGTCAGTCAAATATTTTGTGGAATGACTGCATACTTGATTCTTTTTTCTTCCCTCTGCTTCTCTGGACAATCTCTGTGCTCTCTAACTTGTATATTGAATGTGTTCATCAGCCAGAAGTGATTTTAACAGAGCATGTACTTCATCAATCTTCAAATACACTATAAAAAGTGGTGAGAGAGAGCACTGTTCACACATATTTATTTATTTATCGTAGCACTAGTATTGCAACTGTATCTTTCAGCTGATGTGTCTTTTCTCACCGATAGTCTAAAATTAATGAAACCTCAGGTTGATGCCCTCATGAATCTGACAAATTTTAAGAACAGCTTTTTGAGAAAAGTTCTAGGGTTGGGTTTTGTTTTTTTTGCCTTCTGTCTAAAAATGCCATACTTGAAATAAACTCTTGTTTTGTTGTACTGTGTTGCTGTGGACCAGATGTCTTCCAGAGGTTCTCTCCAGCAGTAAGTTATCAGCTGGGCAGTGAGCTGCAGTCATCTTTACAACCCCAAATTTGTACATTCACAGCTAGTGCTAACAAGTAAAGGTAAAGTGGTAGTAAGGCAGGTAAAGTAGTAGTAAGGTGAAAGCCAGTGGCTGTGCCTTACACTATTGGAAGAGCTTCTGTGAGGGAGGTACAAGACTGGGCTGGAGATGTTTTTGCCAGCCAGTTCAGCATGCAGAGAAAGGAAAGATCCATCTCGCTTACCTGCCAGCGCTCGCTGTAAGCAGCAGTGCAGCGTCTTTCCTGGCTCTTGTATGGTTTCTCCTGCTGAAGAGGAGGAATGAAGCATGAGAGTTAAGTGTCAGCAGCTCAGGACTTCCATGTGGTGGGAAACCTCTGAGTCAGCTGCTAGTGATTTTCTAAGGAAGGAAGAAGCAGGTGTGGTCTGGATCCTACAGTAGAGTTGGAATGGGAGAGGTGAAAAGAAAATCTCCTTTCCAACAAGAAATGAGAGAGATTGTTGAAATCCTCGCTTAAATGTGTGTGAATATCTTTGCGTAGCCGATGAAATGGAAACAAAATTTATGCATAAGGAAGAAACTGTTCCAAATCTGTACCTTGTAGATATTTTATTTTTCTCGGAAAGCTGAGATAATTTGAAGTTGGTCCTGCTTAAGATCATTAACTCTATGGTGTAATTAATACTGAAAGCTTGTTTTGGGATGTTGTCCTTCAAACAAAGACAGGTAAAGATATGTGTGTTTGGCACTTGTGCCTTATTTGTCAGATTCAGGTATGCACAACCACCTAACTGTAGTTGCATACATATTTGGGGACAGGATGATAAGGAATTAATTTATACAGAAGGAAAATATGATCTCATTTATCTTTTTTAGGCTCACAGGAGTCCTGTAGCTTGAATTCAAATGACAAAGAACAGTTGCTGCTTCGCGACCGAGATGAAGATGAGGATGAAGAGCCTCCAGAATACAGACATGCCAAAGTCAAGAGAAGGCAAGTCATTAAATTTAGCTGAGCTTTTTTCTCAGTAAGCCCAGGTCCAGAAGCCTCCTGATTTACAGTAACTATTTGTTTGATTGAGACCATGAGTTAAAACTTCAGTATAAAACCACATAGTCTTCCATCACTGCTTATCACTTTGCCTGGCGACAAGCGGTGGATATTTCTTCTCTTCCATTGCTTTATGAAAACAATGTATGGCCTCAATGACTGTGCAAGGTGACTGTACTATTCTTGTGCCACTGAAGTATACAAGATTGGTAAAGTGGATAAGACAACTTGCTTATCTAGATCTAATTAGTGTAGATGATACAAGAACAATAGTAAATAATTTGCATTGTTTAACTGAATTGTATGCTACTAGTAAAGTGCTCAGTGCTGTGGGAATCACAAAATAGCAATCTCTGCTGTGTCAGTCATCGTCTTCTCTCAAAATTTATAGCCTCAGAGATGATGAGATGGCTCTGCCTCTAATATATTTACAAACTCAGAGGAGAAGGAATGGATGGAATTACTGTCTGCTAATCATGTAGCTTTGGTTTTGTTCTATTTTGCTGTTGCCATAGCATTAATAATAGATCATAATATAGATAAGATAATAGATGATGAAGATAATTTGGAAATAAGGTGAACAAACAGTATCTTCATCAGTTCCACGTAGGGCTTGATATTAAATATTTTAAGTAGTAATTCGGAACAGTTGAAATATTATAACCCCAGTAGATGGACATACATCCCAAGAATTGGGTAAAAAAAAAAAATACCAAACCCAAACCAAAACATATGTGCATATGAATAGGTTGATGTTATTTGCGTTGGTTGGTTTCAGCAGTGTTTGGAAGAACTTGCTGAAGCCCACATTTAAATGTTTTCAGTACATGAGTTTCTTACTGGTATATCTGTAAAATAAGAGTTATTTACAGTAAGTAACTTTGACATCTGTATTTTTTCCTAGCCATGAACTGGATGTGGATGAGAACCCAGTGGAAGATCCTGAGGAAACCTGCTCTGTTCTGGGTTTCAAGTGTGGCACAGGACAAAAGTAATGGCTTATGAGGAACTCAGGGTTTCTTCACAGCAAGTCAGCTCTCTTGTTACTATTCAAATAGACCATTCGTCTCCATTCCCATTTTGTAAAGCTTTTGGAGATGATTCCCAAAGTTAGTCTCTGCTTTTAATAAAACTGTCATCCTTGGCTAGAGCGAGAGATGCAAAGTTAGAGACTAATTAAAGAAAAAGAAAAATGCTTTGAAACAGAAGTGTAACTTGTAAGGTACTTGCAGTTGTGTAAATGTTAAAGGGCTGGTCAGTGACTTAAATTAGAGCATAAAGGCTCTGACCATGAATGGTCCGCTCAGTTTGGAGTCCTGTGAGCTTAGATGATAATTTATAACCGTTTCATATTGGAATGAGGTTGCTTTATACTAACAAAATGTTGCCAGGGTGTTGACCTGGGAAATTTCATTTTTGATGGTATGACCTAAAGATCTGGTGGTCAGTACTGTAGGAAAAACATTGTAGGGCACAGGTGGGCTGTAGCTTAGGTCTAGTGCTTCTGCAAGATTCAAATTGTTTTGTGTGTGTGTGTGTGTGTATATATATATATATATATGTTTCAGAGGAGTGTGTTTTGTAATTGACCATCTCTGTTCTACTTTATGAAAATTATGTGAGTGGATTGCCCATATTTACTTTTTTTTTTTTTTTAACTGCCATTGCATTTGCCAAGAGACAAAAGTAGCTGTTTTGAAGATTCTTTGCAGCCACCAAAAAGATGTTTTATTATCCTACTAATAAAGATATTTTTTCATTTCCTATTCTTCAGGCTGATCTGGGAAACTGTTTCCACCTAAATTTATACACCTATTAGAAAAAAGGTTTTAAAAAATCTAAAACCAATTTGGGTAAACATTTTCAAATAAAAATATTTAAAAGTTTTCACGAAGGTACATTGTTTTGCACCTACATCCAGTGACATATTTTAAGAGCGGAGCTAATGCCTCATAAAGAAATAATTTAGTCTAAATAATTTTCTGTAAATACCAACATTCACATTAAAGCTTCCAGACTGGAAATTAACCAAGTCTTTTATTTTTATTCTTTTTTTTATTTTTAATTTCAGGTATGGTGGAATTCCGGATTTCACTCACCGAAGTGTGCAGTACTTGGAGAAAAAAGCAAAACTCAAGTCCAAATTCCTGGATATGCGTAAACCAAGGAAGAGCAAAAACACACACATCTTCTTTACAGAAGAATCTGAAATGTCTTGCAAAAAAAATAAAACTTTGAAGAAGGTAGGTTTAGTTGTTAATGTTGCTGTAATTCATAGATTTATCTGCTGCCTTAGCTGTTGCTGAACTATGAAAAAAAAAAAAAAAATTTGCCCAGAACAGAAAACATTTTTGAAGTGTCAGTTCACTGCTTTTTTTTTTACTTTTTTTATTTTTCTTCCTCTGCTTAGGTGAAGTGTAGTTAGCTTAGGGTAGATATGGAGAGGCATTGGTGGGCTCATGGCAGTGTATCAAGAGGAATGTGAGCTTAATTGTGAAATTATGTGAAAGTTGTTCCTAATATCCAGGTGCCTCATTCCTTTAGAGAGGTGCGTGTAGGTTTGTATAGTTACCAAAAGTATCTCTAATTTTAAAATGCATGAGGGCATTTGCTAGTGCTAGCATTTCAGCAGTGAGAGGAAAAAGTTTGTATAGGTTAGTGTGTGTCATGTAACTCCATGGTCTTAGTAATTTGTATCAACATTTTTGTTTCCACCTCTACCTGAATTTATTTTCACCTATAACTTTATGCTTAATTTTTTTTTTTGACTCGGAAATCAGTAATGAGTAGAAAAACTTGTTTGCTATAGTTTTTTCTTAGTTGAATCTCTTTAAAATCTGTTACCTCAGATTTTCAATGTTACTTTGCCTTCTTCTGGGATTCCCTAACACCCAAGTGCAAAACACTGTTTTCTGCTGGTGACAGCACGTATTGAACTCCAGTCCCATTGCCATAATTTTTGATCAGTGGCTTAACCATTGCCATCTTGTACCTGAGGCCAGTATAGTTCAAGGGCAACTTCAGTTATGTGAAGAAAAAAAAGTTACAAATTTCCTCAGACTTTTTGGCAAGGAATGGCCCCGGGCCTAGGGCCCCTCAGAGCAAATGTACCACAAAAGTGAGCATCTGCAGATGCCTTTGGGGCGTTTGGACCGGTGCCTTCACTTGCAGATGTAATCTGGAGCTCTCTACTGTGCAGCAGAACTCTTCAGCTTGTGCCCTGTTTGATACATCTTGGAGATGAGGCAGCTAACGTATGAAGGTAACTTTACCTGTTTATGCTAACCTGGAGGGCAGAGCGCAGCTGCTCGGAATGCAGATCAGAGGATAGTTAATTCAAAAGCAGTAGTCTTGGTTACCTGTGCTGTGGCAAGCCTGGCTATATTTCAGATATTACTTGAGAATGATATACTGTATGTATCGGTTCTGTGAAGTTTCTCTTTTGCAAGTAGCTGGTATCTAGTTCCCAAAGACAACTTGTTTTCAAATGTTGTAGAAAGGGACTTTTTACTTTTTTACTTTTTTTCAAAACACGAGTGGTAGAGAGTGCATGCATGGCAGGTGCGTTTGAATCACGAGGCTTTTAAACTGTGCTCTTGGTAGCTGGTTAACAGCACCGACTAATTGTCTGTGATACTTGACAACTGCAGGTGGAAGAGTTCCTAAAGCGGATCAATAAACCCGGGGAGGAAGCCGCCTGGCAGTCAGCCTGCCCTCAGGGTAAAGCAGAGGCACTGTCTGCGAGCAGCAGCGGCTCGGAGGAGGGGGAGAGCCTCACTGCTGCACTGAACGCTGAAAACCAAAAGCCGCTGTCCTCCAGCGCAGCCTCCGCAGAACCTGGCGGGAGAGACCTCGAGGGGGCAGCGGGGGAGGCGGCCGCGAGCGGCGCCGATGGCCGGGGTGCAGGGCGGCAGCTCGTCTCTCGGGATATTCCCGATTATCTCCGGGCCCAGACGGAGGACACCAGCCAAGGTACATCAGTTTCCAACAAACTGGAAATGGCAGTGGACTTAATGCTACCTTCCCAAATTACAGCATTGTGTGGTATTTATTTATTCTGTTTATTCAAGGAGACTCGTTAAGTCCAAGGGGTAATGAGGCTGACTGAGAGCTGTGTTAGTGGAAGTAGCTTATTCCTGGGGCGCCGGAATCCCATTTCTTGTCTTTAATATTGGCAGTATTTCTTTATAGGTAAACAGTCATTGCTGATCCTAGACGTGATCTAACAGGTCTCCAGTTCACACCCTTTTTCCCCTGGAAGGTTGAGGGTGATTAATTTCAGGTAGATGCACAAGCCGTCAGGTTTTCGGTTCTCGGATGCACATTGCTGACCTTTGAGGGGCATGCATTGTTAAAATTAATTTCTAGGGGAAAAAAAAATTGTATATGATGGACTTTTCTATTTAACACTGTAAACAAAGAAAAACAGGATCATTCATGTTTCTACGTATAGTTTAATCCTCCATACAGTAATTCAATCATGTTAGATTTCTAATGTAAAACTCTTGTCTAGATTGAGTCTTATTCCTTATTTATATAAGGGCATTAAATTGGTCTCTGATTGACTTGTTTGTTTGCTATGTAGTATTTATTGCCATCATTTGAAGATGATGGGTAGCCTGCTGAGAGTTAAATAATGGGTGAGGTGTTACAATTTTTTTAGGACTGTGACTGGTACCTGTCAGGTAACACTATTCCCTTGAAATACAGGATGTTCTTTTTTAATTTAAACCACTAATCTTCATAATCTGGCAAACAGTAATAAAGAACATGTATTTAGCAGTGTTGTTGAACGTGAGCATCTTATATCTTAACTCACCTACCTACTGATTTCATTCCTAGCCTACAAGAACAGTGATTGTTAACTTTTGCAGTGTCTTCCAGCTGTAGATGAAAAAATTACCACAAAGAAGAAGGAGAAAAAAAGACGAGGAAGGAATAAAATGGCACTGGGAGCTATACCTGCCGAGATTGCTGCTGATCCAGAGCTGGCCAAGTACTGGGCACAACGCTACCGGCTGTTCTCTCGGTTTGATGAGGGAATTAAACTAGACAGAGGTATGTTCAGTACAAAGTGCTCTGACTTGGTGGTACAAGTTGCGTCCAAACCTGTGGTCCTTCTTAGAAGAAAATCAGTAATAAACTACAAGAGGAGCATTACTGAGCGTGCATCTGCACCTCGGGATAATTGCCAGCCCACAGCAGGCGGGCAAACAGAAGTCTTGGGCTTCAGTAGAGCTTCTAGCATGGGACAGCCCTGTTTGCATTAGTCCTGATGTTTGCTGAAGATCATACTGTACCCAAATTATGCTTAGTCAGGACATTTTCAGAAACTCGATGGCATTTTCCTGTTTCTATATTTTATAAAATAATTTTGTGAAAACTTCCAAATATGCTGATGGATCTTGTTTTGTTCTGACTTGCAGCAGTGACTTCAAAGTTACTTTTCTCCATGTTTGCATGGAAACCACTTCCAAATTGTAAATTTATAGGTGAAGGGGGAATTAGGATTACTGCTTTTTTTGTATCTTGGGTTTGTTGCTTTTGTAAGACTTTCACTTCTAATGCTCTCCCGCATAAACACATATATATATGATTTGGCAAACTGGATATTGCTGTAAAGAAAATAACCTGTTGGATAAGAGAATATATTTCTGGTTGTATTTGCTACAGAGTGTAATCATGATGTACAAAGTTTTTCTAGCCGTCTCAGTGGATTTGTCCTTGATAAGCCAGAATCCTCAGCACCAAGTTCAACAAAGCATTTACTGAGATTGGGGCATATCTGTTTGCTTCAGTGGGACTTTGTTTGCTTAGCAAATCTCTGGACTGACCAGCATTTATCATCTTCAAAGCCTATATTTCCTGGTTGAATGCACTAAGCCAAAATTGTTGGGATTAATGCTAAACCTTCAGTTGTGTGTGTAGGGGGGTGGGTGGTTGGTTGTTTTCAATTTAGGTGACCTTGAAAGAAGAGGTGGAAATACACTCTTCCCTTTCCTTTGCAGAGGGTTGGTTTTCTGTTACTCCTGAGAAAATAGCTGAGCATATTGCCGTCCGGGTTAGTCAGTCATTCAGCTGCGATATCATAGTGGATGCATTCTGTGGGGTCGGAGGAAACGCCATTCAGTTTGCGTTGACCTCAAAAAGAGGTAAGCGGGTGTTGTATATAGCACATTATTTTGTTTCTTCAGTCTTTTTCCCTAAAAATTTGGGTATGCACTTTGTTCAGTGATTTATTTTTATTCAGTGTTTCTGAAGCAATAGAAGCTTTTTTGCTTCATGTTATTGACAAGATGAACTTTCTGTTTTTAAAAAGGACCTATAAAGCTGCTTTTCTATGTTAAGTCGGAGTTGAATTTGCGTTGTACTAGTCAAAGTTATTTTTACGTGGCATAGTAACTAGTCTGTCATATGCTCAGAAGATTACTGACATGCAGAGATGCCACAAAGCTGCTGCTTTTCCCCGGGTTTATGCCAAGTCTGTGTACTCAAAAGCAGGTTACGTGCGAATAGTACTTAAAACACTTGAATGGGATCGCCTGCAGTTGCAGCAGAACCAAATAGAGAAAAGTGATGATTACTTATTATCTAAGTTCCTGTTGCTAGCTAATGAAATTGCAGTGAAACACAGAAAGTGCTTTTGGTAAAAACATTGAGTGCTTGATTCTACTCTTACTCGTTGAACACTGGTAAAATACCGGCTCATCTAACTCTTCTGAGTAATTTCTAGCAAGACAAATGTTAGTTTCTACTGCATTAAATTCCGTGGGCTATGATCCATGCTATAAATATTTTCTAAATTTCACTTTAGCTTTTTGTATTTCCAGGCTAAATTTTTATTTCTATGATTATGTACTGCCCTTGTACCATCTCTCTTGTGCTGCGTTGGGTGGGTTTTTTTAAACTAAATGTTCACTACAATGTGGTCAGCCACAGATGAACGTTTGCCTTTAACAAAGGAGAAGAGTAAGTTTCTAACTGACACCATTTAAGCTGTCAGGCTCCTGCCAAGCCTGAAGCGAGGAGGACTCCCTCTCCTAGGTGGGCAGCCTTACCTGTGCACTACTTGAGCTGATACGGAGGATTGTCATGGTAGTAGATGTACGCCTGCCAAAAGCAGAAGCTTCCCAGCTTTGCAGTAGCGGCTGAGCCTTCCCAGCCTTGGCTGTGTGGCTTCCCATGCTGGTTTGTAAATGCAGTGGTTCTGCTCTTGGTGAAACCTCTGCTCCTGCCACGCAAGGGCAGGTCCTCCCACTCTGCGGAACTGTAGCTCCACGTCTACCATGACCTACAAAACGGAAGCAGTCGCTCCCTGCACGACAGTAGGTGACAGATGCGACTCGTACCTTACGGTTGCAGAAGAGCGCCTTCCCTCTGAAACGTCCTTCTGGTGGTTGGGTGGCGTTCGAGTTCACGTCAGGCCGTGCGCCTGCCATCTCGCCCCTTTGCAGTGATCGCCATCGATATTGATCCCGAGAAGCTCAGCCTGGCCCGCAACAACGCTGAGGTGTATGGCGTGGCGGATCAGATAGAATTTGTGTGTGGAGACTTCATGGTGCTGGCTGCTGACCTGCAAGCAGATGTTGTGTTCCTCAGCCCACCCTGGGGGGGCCCTGACTACGCCACCGCCGAAATCTTCGATGTCCAAACCATGATTTGCCCAGACGGATATCCTTTCAAAGTTATTGATTGTCAGGATTTTTCAGTCGTTTACGAGCGGTTCTCGCTTTCTTCTCCTCCTCCTACTGACAGTGGCTTTGCACATCCAGTCGGCTGACTGGGGCTGATATGACCAGCAGCTGAAGTCCCAGGCATGCTGCGTTTGTTTAGTCCTCCTCCCCCAACCTCAGCTATACGACTGACCACCTAAATTTAAATAATATAATTTTTTATTTAAAAAAAAAAAAGTCAAAAAGAGTTATTCTTTTAAAAGATCCTATAGAGAACTGTAGTATCTTCTTAACTTAGAGCATTAATTCAGCAGTTTTAACTCCTTTATATTATTTTATTAAAATACCCTGAAGTAATCAAATAGCCACGTGGTATGTATATATAGGTAATAATTAGTTACATGAACTATGACGTGGTCATTATTTCCATTTTTTAATTGATTTATAAAAGGTATGTCTTATTTAAAACACCTTACTCAAACTTTTCTCAATCATAGCACCTGCCTATGACTTACAAAATCACAGAAGAGTGCAAGAAAAATATTGACCCTTTCAATTAATGTATAAAATTCCATGCTAACTTATTAACAGCACTCATTCATCTGGGAAGGTATTGGCATAATAGTTCCATCAAATATGGAGTGTGGTGGGGTGTTTTTTCCCCCCAAAATAATCTCAGTTGCTTCTTTATTTGGCTAAAATATAGCCATATTTTTCAGAGTAATGAAACCTTTGTATGCATGTGTAAGAGGTTCCACAAAATGGATTAGAAAAGAAATATCAAACCAATGTACTATCTATAAGCAACATTCTGGTTTCTCAAATACTTCTCTGTAGTTCAGTTAAATTGTCTTTAAAAGTGAGGCTTGGTTTGTTTTTTTACTTGCTGAGGTAGTAATGGTGAAATAGAGTTTTCCTGTTTGGACAGTACTAATTTCTGCATTTCAGAAGAGTATTTGGTTCGCACAGCTAGAATACTAACTATAATTTAGTTGCATAATAACTGAATTTGGGACATACTTTCAAAATGAATGAATATAAAGCGACTTCTCATTCCCCATTCTTGTTTTTTCCTTTACTGGCTTCTACATTTGAAATTTTCAGGCTCTCCAAGAAGATCACAAACAATATTGTGTATTTTCTACCTCGGAATGCTGACATTGACCAGGTGTGTTACTGGATAAGGGCTTGGTAATTACAAAAAGCTCAGCCTGCTCAAAGCATAGGTATTGTAAGTCTGAAGTTTCTGCTTATAAGTCTGTTCAGCTGAATGTGGGGGTGTTTTTGTTTTAAGTTTGTACGTATTAAGTGATTTCTGTGTTTGCAGTACTTTTGATATATTTAGAAACGGGAGTAGTAGATTATTTCCATGATGTTGATACTGTTCCTTCATAAAGGAACAGATTGGAGGGTCTTATAGAAGATCCAGAGCCGGTAGGTTTCTTGAGCGCCAGACAGATACATCATTATAAAAGAAGAGAAAAAGCATTTCAACCAGCTCTTACTATCTGTTAATTTGCTGAATCCTAAACTTTAATGACTTTCAGTTTATGAAGGAGTTGCAGGAGATCACTGTACAGCCTGCAACCACTACTGTCACTGGTTAGTAGGTCAGAAATGAATGTCATGCCACCAGAGGTACTGATGCTGTCCACACAAGTGTGTGGTTCCGTGTGGGCTTCTTGCATTGTGGTGATTATAGTTATATGCGTCACTGACTTGATGAACACACAATTTGTTTCACTGGTGTGGGGTTTTTTTGTATTAGGGATTTTTGCTCTAATTTTTTTTTTTTTTTAAGTAATTAGATGACTGTAACAATTCCCCAGAGTGTCTGGTTTAGTTTCCTCTGTGTATTTTCTATGTTAATTATGTCTTGTAGCTTTTTGCAAAGAAGGAAGCGGTGAGATGTTCTCCTTACCTGCAACATGCTGGAGAACTTTCCAGGATTATTTCCTGTCTTTCCAAAAGCTGTGCCTGACTTACAGCAGGCAAGGTCTTAGGCTGCATGGTGGCTTGCAGAATTGTTGGTGGCAAACTGCTGGCTTGAGAAACAGGCTGCAATTCCCATGGCCTGAGTATTAGCACGCTCTGAGCCCGCGCTATGCCCAGCACCATTTGTATGGCAGGTGATGATTCAGTTGCAATTTGCATTTCAGCCTGGTGAAATACCAAAGTGGCTCCTGAATCTCTGAACAGGGACCTTAATTTTAGACAAATTTTCTCAAGTTTCAACTTCTAACCACTGCATTTTATCAAATGTTTCATTAGCACGATGAAGAATGACCTTACCAGTTTCTGCTCTGCTCATGAGTGCTTTTTACTGGATTCATAAATGGGCAAAGGCCACTTCACTCACTTTCCCACAAAAGCATCTAAGAGTACTATCCACAGGCCTGCACCTATTCCTGCAGAAGAGCTCAGCACCTCGATGTGGTTGGGTTAGGTGTCTTGTCACCTCTACATCTTGGACTGAATGTTGTTGATGTGCTCTGAGTGTTCCTTGGCGTACATCCAGGGATTTGCCTTTACACAAATGGCTGAAGAGTAACTGCTGTTGCTCAAAAACATGGCTTTGTGGTCACGGCTTAGCTGTTAAAAGCGTGTGGCTGGAGGCCTGGCTTCAGTTCAGTTGTCAAGGCTGTAGGCTACTCTCAGGAGGAGAAACCAGCTCCTCATGGTTTTCTCTAGAGATTGTGCCAGTATAAGAAAAAAAACCCTAAAGGATAATGCTCTGAGAGCAGGGAAGGGGAAAGAGAATATTAATCTAGCCCACTTTTTAGGGAAATGCAGTCTTAATCCTGCGTGGACAGAGGGGTATCAAACGTGACCATCCCAAACATGACCTTAGTGGATACTCTGGTCCATAGGAGACTGGTTATGGGTTTGGCTGCCATCATCTCTGGCTGTATTTAAGCATGAAGTTTTTGAATTTACTGCCACTACACTTCCAGGGCTGTGAATCTCCAGAAAAAAAGATTTATCATTGAAGTTCCCTAATGGTTAGTATAGACAGTTGTTTTCTCAGTTTGCTCATGGTTTTGCCCACAAGTTCTCATCTGTCTTACTTTTCTCATAGACCAGGTAGGGTGGCTTCTGCTGCAACAGCTGCCTTGCCAGAGCCTGTGGACACCACTGTGAGGGTGTAGTGATGTAGCTTGGCTTGTGAATGTAGTCCGTAAACTCCAGGGGCCTGTAAACGCTTGATGAAGTAAATCTTGAACATTTTTTGCAGATTAATACCTGAAAACTGAATAACCTGGATAAGGCAGTATTTGTTGAAAAGATTATCTGATGCCTTAGATTTGAATGGAAACTTAAAAACCTATGTTTGATTTATATAACACTGCTCAGGCACGTAAGACTTGCCTATTCTGTGTCCTCAGAAATGAACTCTGTATGCTCATACACGTGTAAGGCTTTCAGATATCGCTTAGCTCCTAGAATAGGTGGTCTGTTTAACATGTAAGGTGGCAGTTGTTAAAACTTAACTACTCTGCCTCTTGTCTCTTGTTGACTGTCTTAAATCTACAACCAAGGTGTCCTTGTGTGCTTTGTCAATTCAAATTGATTTAGAAACTGACTTAGTTGCCGTTGCAAACCTCCCTGAAGATGTTTATACTGACTGCAGGCCAGTGTATCTGTGCAAGTTTCCTTGTCTGACAGTGTGTCTCAAGCAGAAATGGAAATGAACGTCCAGCAGTTAGAAGCAGCCTTACAATAAAAATACTGCTTAACATTTAGGGAAGGTGGTGCAAATTTAGGGGAGGATATGTGCTCCGTTTTACAGTTAGATAGCTAACACAGAATAGGGATCCTGCTGCTGCTGTGAAAGCAAGGTGGCAGCTGACCTTGACCCAGCTGTGTCGGAGGACTCGGTGTTCATTGCCTTATTGGTAGACAAGACATTGAACCTTGTTCCAGATGATTTTCTTGTAAAAACAGTGCTTATTGTGTCTGCAGGCATGGCCTTTTCTGTGTAGTGTTAGAGAGAGACCAGGTTCTTTGAATTCCCTTACAAAATTCACTGAGTTTAGGTTGAAGAGGATAAACGAACTTCTGGACTTCTGCCTCAAGAGGGAGCAGCGAACCGGTGGAATATGGTTGGTGCCTTGACAAGAAATGTGAAACATTTTGCTTAACTGCATCAACTCTCCTTATTTACAAGCGTGTACTTGTTACAAAATTTGTAAGGTGTGCAGGTCCATTTTTAGGTCGAATCAATCTTTCAAAATATTCTTCCCAGTTAAGGTATACTCAGTGGTTTTTATATGCATGTGTGTGGACATACATAAAAAAATACATAGTTCTATTAATAGTGCCTATTATGTAGCTCATGTGTGACACACTTGTTGATACCCATCTCACTGCAACATCTTTACCCCTGAGTCTTTTATTTCTTTAAGCTTTTTTCACATCCGTTTAAAACAGGCAAAAAAACCAAGGGGGAGTTGTAGAAACTACCAGTCAGAAATATGTTAATATTACTTCAGTTCTGGGGGGCTAAACTTGTATTTGACTGCCAATGGTGTTTTTGAAAAGCAAAACAAAAAGTTTCTCCTACTTTTCAGGAATTCTGAGTAGGTCAGAATTAGAAATAACTGTTTCAAATAGGCTTGCATATTTAAATCAAAATTATACCCCAGCAAAATTAAGTGAAAACAATTGATAGATACTTGGGTAGTTGAAAACTGTTCTTGCCTTCTGTGAGAAGAATTAACGGTACTAATTTAAGCTGATATTATTAAAGTAAATTTTTAAAAAGAGTGAATATTCACGACTTGGCAAAATTTGAATGAAAATAAATTTCTTCCCCTTGCTCTGCTGTTGATTGACTCTACTGGCAGCAAGGAACCTGCAGTCAGGCAATGTTCAACTTTTCCCAGCATCCTTCCCCTTCTTGGCTGGTTCATTTCCACCAAATCAAGGGAAAGAAGGGTGATGTCTTCAGGAGATCCTACATTTAGGTCTTAATACTCCAACAGAATGTAAGCAAGACCTCCATGAGTGACTGTAGAAGCAAGCTTGTTGAGACAGAATGATTAAATGTTGTTTATGAAGTGTTTAACAAGCTGTGCTCTGCCTCATTGTGCAGAGTGGGGAGCATGTACTCACATCAGGGACCAGGACTCATCCCAAGTAGTCCAATCTCTTGCACGGGCTGGTTTCTGTACCAGGTAATACTTCTGCATCTTAATATTTGCAGCAAAGAAGGAGGAACCTGGGATTTATTGCTGTAGGACCGTCTTGCTAATGGTGGGATAGCTTCTTTTCACCTCGTTGCAGGAGGCACACTCAGCTACTTAAGACACCAGGACAGAGCCTCCCAAGTGTTCACATGCTAACGTAGTGATGCTCTGACTCTTCTTGCGAGTTGAGTGAGTGCTGCCGTTGAGGTATGGTTAGAATGGAGTCAGGCTGCGTGATGACTGCCCCCCAGTAAACTGATGAGCCAAAATGTCAGTGACCTGGTATGTTGTGAGATAGATGCCCACATCAGCATCTTTACCAGCCTAGAGATCTGTTTGAGAGGCAGAGTACTGAGGAATTGAGAGTTTATTACTTACCCTGACTGTGGATGGTTAACTGCTCAGATACCATATTGTGCCTCAGTGATCATCCTAAACTACTTCATCGTTCTTCGAAGACAGTCATATTGTACAAATCTACAGATGGTGGTTTAACTCAGAAATATATTTTTCCCTTTTAGCCAAAAGACGATCTCATGCATACATCTATTTACCATGGGCTTATCTATTAAGTCTTTCTGATTTTTAGCTGCTGGAAATGTTGCATATTTAACATCATGAGCATACAGTAGTGCAAGTTTTAATTTTTGGTCATGTTAGTATATCAAAACAGCAGGATAACTGAGGCCAATTTTCAGATAATATTTCAATCTTTGACCATTCTAGCAGAGCAAGCAAATCTATGAGAGTAATATTGGTCTACTCTTAAGACAGAATACAAGTGACTTTGTTAATGGAAGATGATTCTGAAAGTAAAATGCCTGATAATTATTCTACTCGAGAGCTATCTTTGTGAGTTAGAAAAGTTTTGGTCTATTGAGATCCATCCTGTGACAAAAGAAAAACCAGTGCAATTTGAGATAGATTTGCCAGTGTCCAGCAGCCTTTATCTCTGTGTAGGTGAGTTGAAGCTTAGCTA